GAACCACCACCCTTGAGATTCAAGCTGGCCTTGCGGTCCAGTGCTTATCCTACAGCCTCACACTAGGACTTCTAGTGAGAAAATTTTGTATTTTCTTTTATATGTTAGAAAATACAGATTCAAAGACATGAAATACCTCAACAAGGGTGGTACTAGTCTAAGTATCTGAGCAAATATTTCAATCCTAAATATTTGACTCCAGATCTTATATCTTTTTGGTTCGGTTCCTATTGGCTCCCTTTTTGTTTGCTATGGTTACTATTGAAAGTCAGAAGCCTCAGGAAACCTTTGTGTGGTTTTATGCTCACATTAGGGACAGAAAGGAAGCCTGCACAAGAAGTTTTCTCTTTCCACTACCACTGCTCAGTCATCCAAGGATTTTCTTTCCTAACACATCACATAAAGCTGTTTTGAAGAATGTTCCCTCTTGCACCTAAAACCAAAAAACCTGAACCCACTGCCTTTGAATCGATTCCAACTCAGTGACCCTACAGGACATAACAAAATTGTTTGACAGAGTTTCCAAGACTGCAAATCTTTATGGGAACAGACAGATTTGTCTTTCTCCCAAGGAATGGTAGGCGGAATTTAATTGCCAATCTTGTGCATAGCAACCCAATGCTTAACCCAGTGTGCCAACAGGACACCTTCTCATCACTAAAGTAAGCATAAAATCATAGAGGTTTCCTGGGGTTTCTTACTGTTAATAATAACCATGTGGCTGTGTGCCATGGAGTAGATTCCGACCCTGCAGAGGGTTTCCCAGGCTGTAAATCTTTTCTGGGAGCAGAAAGTCTCATCTTTCTCAGACAGAACGGCTGGTAGTTTCATACAGCTGACCTTGAGTTTAGCAGCCCAACTCATAAGCAGGACGCTAAGTAAGGCAGTAGGGTATAAAGAAAAAGATAATCCAATCAAATAATCTTGGATTGAAACCTTTGCTCAGATATTTACTGTTGTTGTTGTTAGGTGCTATCAGGTCGCTTCTGATTCATAACAGGTGGAAACACCAACATTACCTTGCTGGCGGCAGTGATGGTTGTATGCTGTCGAGTCGGGTCCAACTAATAGAAACTCTATACAGAAAACCTGCAGGTTTCTGAGGCTGTAAATCTTCATGTGAGCAGAAAGCCTCATCTATCTCCTGCACTGCCACTGGTGGATTTGAACTGCTGACCTTGTAGTAGTTAACAGCCCAACGTGTAGCCCACGACACTACCAGGATTCCACTACTGCCATAGTTAAGTTATTTCACTTCTTTGAGCCTATCCTCTCACCTATAAAACTAAGTTGACAACATTTCCTTCCAAGGAAATTCAACAGTTTTATCAATGCAAGGAAATATGAAGTACGCCACAGAAAGTAGACACTTGACCAAATTTTCACACCAATCTCCTTTTCCACTGAAATCAATGGCTCTCCAATTTTATCCTAATTTCCAACCATTTATACATAGTTTAATCAGTAACATCACCAGTAATCATAGTATTTCAATGAGCAAATTATTCAATTAGCCACTATACCAAAACCCAAGCCCTTTGCCAAAAGTCAATACTGACTCTAGCAACCAACCAAGTACGGATTACAAAAGACTGTAAATCTTTATAAGAGGAGACAGCTTCAACATTCTCTTATAATGCAGCTAGTGGGTTTGAACCTCTGACCTTGCAGATAGCAATCCAACACCTAACTCATAGTGCCACCAGGGGTAAAAGGTACACATACATGCAGTTAAATTCAACTGAGTATCAAAGAAACACCCCAAGCCCAGTCTCCTTCCTGCAGCAGCAGCAAGGAGGTATGTGGTGAGGCCAGAGAATATCAGACAGTGGTGAAGTTTTAAGATGAGGAAAGAAGTCTGAGGCTTCTCCTAACTGCACTGATCCTAACTGATGGTCGAGGAAACGGGGGACCAGCCAGTTCCAACTCCACCATCCCTGCCTAGACTTGGACCATCCCTGGAAAGAATCGGGAGAAAACCTCTATTTAGTTTTAACATAAAAAGGAAGCTACCATAATGACCTAGCAGGGTAAAATCATTCCCCCATGACAGTGTTAACAGAAGGTTGTGTTCTGCAGGGTTACAAATAGACCCGTTAAGAAGAATACACACTTTTAAATGCTGAGTAAATATCCATGTACCTACGTCACCTATTTCTCCTTTGTTGTTATTAACTGCCATCGATTCAGTTCTGACTCATAGTGACCCTGTGTAGGGTTTCCAAGGAGCGGCTGGTGAGTTTTAACTGCTGACCTTTCCATTCAAACTGACTTTACAGTCCAGTGCTTATCCTATAGTGCCATACCAGGACAAGAAACCCTATACAGGGTCTCTGTGACTCACAATCAACTCAACGACACTTAACAACAACCAGAAAAAGTTTACACTGTGGACTGCAGTCAGAAAAGTCCAAAAGCCTAAGCCATCCTTTCGAAAATACTAATCAAACAGTATTCTCCTACTTATAATGGCTCCCCATACTCACAGAATAAAGACCAAAGTCTTTAAAAGGGAACTCAAGTTTATCCATGATCCCACCTTTTCAGCTTCAACTGGCTGAGGCAGCCTTGCTCTCACATCATAGTCTCTGCCTCTCTAAGTCTTTCTCTCCCTGATTTATATGACAGATCCTGCTCATATTTAAGGATTTGAACTCAAGTTTGCTCCCCACTACCTCTAAGTCTGGAAAGAACTAAGTATGCACCACTCCCTAGAGGACTACCTGACCTCTGCGCACATTCTTACATGTTGGTCCTAGCATTCTTATCAAAATGCTCCCTTCTCTGGATGACAAAACAGAGGCCAAGCTTTCCTACCTCTCTGGTTGCTCCTCTTCGGTCTACCCTTAAATGCTGATGTTTGCAAAGACCCTTACTTTGTTGTTGTTAGGTGCAATCGAATTGGTACCTACTCCTAGAGATTCTATGCACAACAGAACTTAACACTGCCCGATCCTGGGCCAACCTCACAATTGTTGCCACACTCAAGCCCATTGATGCTGCCAATTTTCCAATCCATCTTGCTGGGGGTCTTCCTCTGTTTCTCTGACCCTCCATGTTGTTGTTGTTTGGTGCCATCGAGTCGGTACCAACTCATAGCAACCCTATGCACAACAGAATGAAACACTTTCCGGTCCTGGGCCAACCTCACTATTGTTGCCACGCTTGAGACCATTGATGCTGCCACTTGGCCAATCCATCTCACTGGGAGTCTTCCTCTTTTTCTCTGACCCTCTACCTTACCACCTTCCAGTCCTATATCTGACAATGTTTCTCCGCTATGCATAGAGTTTTCAGTGACTAGCGATTCGGAAGTAGTTTGTCACTCTTTCTTCCTAGTCTGTCTTTGTTTTGTAGCTCATCTGAAACCTTTCCACCATGGGTGACCCTGCTGGTTATTTAAAACACCGGTGGCATAGCCCTCAGAATCACAGCAACTCAGACCACCACAGCACGACAGACAGATGAGTGGTGGCTGATCGGACATTGTTTCGTCCTGCTGTGCATGGGGTCGCTATGAGTCGGTTCCGACTTGATGGCACCTGACAACAACAACGACTACCTTACCAAACATGATATCCTTCTCCAGCAACTGGTCCATCCTGACAATATGTCTAAAGTATGAGAGACTAAGTTTGGCCATCCTGGCCTCCAAGGAGCACTCTGTCTACACTTCTTCCAAAACGGATCTATTGGTTCTTTTGGCAGCCCATGGCACTTTCAATATTCTTCTCCAACACCATAATTCAAAAGCATCAATTCTTCTACAGTCTTCCTTATTCACTGTCCAGCTTTTACATGCATATGAGGTTATTGAAAATACCATGGCTTGAGTCAGACGCACCTTACTAAGTGTCTCCTTTAATTCTCTCTACATGTTTTATATAATCTCATCTGTTTCCACAGCATCAATCATGTTTACCGTATCAACTACCACATCTGTTATCTCCAGCACATACACAATTCTTCTGTTCTCTTCTGAATCTAAAACCCACATTCAAATCTAAGCCACCATTATCTCCTACTTCAACTATTTAGTCTTTGCCTTCCACTTCTGCTCCCTTTCAATCTGTTCTTGATTTTCCACATACTGGCCACAGGCTAGTCCTAGTGTGGTGCTCTAATAAGCACTGGACCCTGGACCACGAGATTGGTTTGACCTGCAGCCCACCAGCTGCTCCTCCAAAATCCTATACAAAGGTCACTAGAGTCAGAAACCACTCAAAGCCACACCCTGCCACCACACACACACAAAAGAAAGCCTGACCAAGTAACTCACCTACCTAAAACCTTTCACTGACTTCTCGTTACTACCTCTATGAGTGAAGTTGAAAGTCCTTAGCCAGGCCCAGCATGAGATGACCTTTGCAGCCCATCCCTTAACTACTCTTCCACGTTCATTCTATGGACCCCCAAACTTCTGGAAGAGTTTCCTACTTCATCCCGTTTCCCTCTCTTCATCTAGCTAACTGACTCATTCTCCAGGCCTCGCAATACCATCCCATTGGATGAGAGGCTGTCTTTGACCCGACAGACTCATTCTGACTCCTACCATAATCTGTTCTTCGTGTATCAGAGCATCCATCACCCTTTATCGTATTAACTGGTGTAATTGAGTCTAAAGGCAAAGATCGAGTTCCTCTTGTTCAAAACTGTACACAGGAACTAACAAAATGCCAGCTAAGAGCAAAAGTTGTGTGTTCCCTACTTTCCCCAAAATAGTCCTCAAATCTGAAAGAGCCAAAGCTGCTGCTTCACATACAATCAGACCTCGTTGACAATTTCTCACTCAAACTAGGAAAAAAGCCAACAGTTTCTTGCCATTTCCCGCAGTATGAATATTCTAAGGGTTTCTCACATTACCAGTTTCAACGAGAAAATGCGTTCCCATTCTCTCACTAGTGGCCTTGTTACAAGCTCACCAAGGGGACCCCAGACAGGCGTGACTGGAGCTACTGGGTCTCAGGGGGCGAAGGACAAAGACTTTATTCCCCACGTACCAAGCGAGGTGGCGCTGCGTCTGTGCGGTCCCGCCCGCCCGCGGACGCAGCCTGAAGAGGACGGTGGGACCCTGAACTGCACGCAAGCGTCCTTGGGGTCGAGAACGCGCCTCTGCCCCGGGAAGCTCTGGGCGTCCGAGGCGGCTGGCGGAGAAGTTGCGGCGGAGCCCCAGCGGGGACGCTTGGTGCAGGGCTCACAGCCGGGGCCCGCACTCATGCTGAGACCCGCAGCACACAGTCCCCGGAACGGCCCGGGTGGAAAGCCTCATTCACTAACCCTGAGAGGGTCGGACTGCGCCTCCGTCTCGGCGCTTCCCCGCACCACTCCCTCTCTACCACTGCCTGCTTCTGCAGTTGTTGCTCCGCTGGCCTCCCACGCCGGGCCCTAGCCAGTCGCCTGCCTTCCCTCTTCCACAGGAATCCCACCTGCATCAGGTTGCGCCGCTTTAATTCTGGTTTCGTTCACTTTCCCACCACCGGAAAGCTGCCATCAGGCGCTTCCGGTTTCCGGGGCGCAGACTGTCGTAAAGCGGAAGTATGGCGCGTAACGTGTGGCGTCCTCCGGAAGGTCAGCGTCTGGAAGGGTCGGTGGTACCCAGTCACCCTGTGGTTACTGTGGGGTAACGGCCCAACAGACGACCCCGGGCTAAGGGGTGGGAAAGCAAACGGGCAGGGAGCTGCGACACCATGGAGGGTAGCGGAGGAAGCGGTAACAAAACCACAGGGGGATTGGCCGGCTTTTTTGGAGCCGGCGGAGCAGGTTACTCGCACGCGGATTTGGCCGGCGTACCAGGTAAGTATCGGGCGTAGCTGGCGAACATTTCTGACTGGTTCTTGCGACTACGCTGAATTTACCACGTCCCCTATTCTTTTACTTTTTGGTTCACATTCAGAAGCATCACTCCTGTGGTGGAGTTGGTGGGGTTAGCATGTCAGCTCAGTACCTCTTTCAAGATTGAGCGAGTTTGGGCGGCCATCAAGTCTCAAGAGGTTGATCTGGAATCAGGAGATGCCTCATGTATTCTTCCATTCATGTCCAAGTCTCGTCCTTTTTCCGCCCTTACATACATTCCTTGTATGTCGAGCCCATAGTTAATTACATAAAGTTACATATTCTGAATCCCCAAGTATCCTTTAGGAGAAAACATTCAACAATAACGCATATATACGATACAAATATGACTTGGAATATAGCGGGAAAATCTGGAAGAATTCAAAAGTGAGCTGACCTTCTGAAGTGATTTGTAATCTTGCAGTAAAAAGCCAGTTAAGGATTCTAGGAAGGGATGTACGCAAGGTCAAAGATTCAGAGGCAGTGCCCTATCCTCTACCCTAGAAATGTAGGTATTACAGATCTTCGCGACTGGATAGCTTCAGGTGTTCAGATGAAGACTTAGGGACCCAAAGAAGTTGGTGATGGAAACGCTCATTGCAAAGGCTTGAGGGGGTTTAAGAACATTTGTATTACACCCATACCTCGTTTATCAACATGGTTCTAAAGACCAGGTTGTTACATAAAAATTGTCTTATGCAGAATTGGGAAGTGACCACATCAGATAAAACAATGGAGGGTGATATATCGTTAAGTAACTTCCAAACCTGTGAAAATCAGCCAGGTTGGCACATAAGTTTCACCATCACAGCCAGAGCTACTCTTGCCAAGTGCCAGTGTTTGTTACTGCCGCATAAACATCAATGCACAAAAGAGATAGTAGATTTTTTTTTTTTTTACCATTGTCATAAATGTGAAATGTCAGAAATAGTTGATAGGTGAGGAATAGGTATATTTTCCTTGACTGTTTATGCTCAAGAATGACAAAATACCCATTTATGAGGGTAAGTGAAAAGGTATTGCTACCAGGGTTTTCATAATTACATGGGTTTATCAAAAAATAATAATAATAATAAAGTGATTTGACATTAAACTTGAGAGGATGGCAGCAAATTTTCTCAGCAATACATTAGCCATATTAGGGTACCTTCACAGAATGGACACTAAATCATTGAAGCTTTGCAACAAGTTTACAGAAGTGCTGCCCCACATCAACCAGTGGTTTTTAGATGAATCAAACATTTTAAGGAAGGTCAAAAAGGTCGCAAAGATGAGCTTAGGAATGGAAGATTTTCAACCTTGTTAAATTAAAGAAACTGCCTAAAATCCAGAAACTGATGGAAAATCATAGAATTACCATTCGTGTGATAACTACTGGAGTTGGGCTCTCACATGGTTTGGCATTTTCAATTTTAAGCAAACATCTTGGCTTCAGCTAGCTTTCAGCATGAGTGCCAACACAAATTGTGTGAAGATTGTCAGTCTTGAGCAAAATTGAAACTCATGAAGATGATTTTATGGATCCAAAGGTAACTGGGGACACGTCTGGAATTTACCAATACAGTCCAGAAAGCAGGCTCCAGTCAAAACATTAGCTTCTGAGAGAATCATTTAGACCAGTTAAATTCAAGACAGATCAGCTCGGGAAGATAGGAGACTTTCCTAGAATCCCAAAGGGGCAATCTTGGTAGATTTTCTGAAAGGACATAGGAGGATCATAGAGACTTATGGAAAAGTTTAAATAAAATTGAAACCTGCATTGGAGTCCCTTGAGAATGTCAAAACTGCTATTTTGACAGTGTAAATGGAAGAGAGTAGAATTCCTTAGGGAAGGGTTTGTTGTTGAAGTGACATCAGGTCGCTTCCAACTTGTAGCAACCCTGCGTAAGGTTTCTCAGGTTGTAAATCTTTACGGGAGCAGAAAGCCTCATCTTTCTCCTTCAGAGTGGCTGATGGGCTGAACCCACCAACCTTGTAGTTCACAGTCCAGTGCTTGTTCTAGGGAAGGTCTAGATTAATGGGAACGATTGCCTTCAGAAGTGTGTAGACTTAGATGGATGACATGTTGAGGACCAATAGTTTTATATGTTGGTGTTTTGTTTAATAAAGCTTTTTATGATTTTGTAACATTTTATGACTTATCATTATACAGCTATAATGTCAAACTGTGTCCAAACCGGGTCTAGTACATGGTTTATATATAGTAAGTTTTAGGAGCTCTGAGTTTCAGGGCACAAGGGACAGATCTTTAATATGGACTATTGTTATATTTGATTAAGATTTTAAGATAAATTGAGCTGGAGGGTGGATACCATTCGTTGAACACGTATAATGTAGTAACTAACTGCCTTTCTTAGTTTGGGACTTTAGCAAATTTTTAAAAAGATGCTTACCTTAATGAAACTTAACATCCTACTAAGGTGAGCCAAGAACATAAGTAAAAACCATTTCAGTTAGTGATAGTGTATGAAAGAAAGAAACAGAAGCATGGCATGTTGTTGGAGGGGGGAGCATTTTAGAATGGTTAGCCAGAGGAGTTGACACCTCAGTTCTGACCTGAACACAATACTAATGTCTGAGAGGCAAATATGTCAGAGAAAACGTCTAGTGCAAATGTCCTGAGAACTAACTTAGCATGCTGGAGTAACAGCTGTTAGGGCAGTATGCCTGCAAAGATAAGGACGTTAGAATGCTAGGAAATAGCAGCTGATGGTCGCTTTGCTAAGCCAGGATAAGGAATATGGATTTGATTGATTATATGTATAGAAGGAAGCCATTAGAACTGATTTCCTTTTCTTGAAAACCACTCTAGTTGTGTAGAAAGTAAATTGAAGGAGCAGGGCAAAGTAAAGAATCAGGAGAGAAGACTGCTTTAGTCAGCTTGAGACTTAATAATTGGACTAGGGTGATGCTGATAGAGATGTTGCTAAGTATCATAATTCAAAATATACAGTATAACCTATAAAAGTCAACCTGTGTAAAGTAGAAACCTGTCAGAGAGGGGAAACTCAGATCGTTTTTACTAAAGAAGCTATAAAATGCTTCAGTATACCCTGTAAAAGGCAGAACGCGTTCCAGACACAGAAAAACAAAGCAGCTCCATGGACTTCAGCTCTCACAGGTTCCGCTGTAGTTTAAAAGCAGCAGGGCTTTCAATTGATGAAAAAGATCATTGTTGTTAGTTGGTTCTGACTCATAGAGACCCTGTATGGGGTTTCAAAGGAGTGGCTGGTGAGTTTGAACTGCTAACTTTGTGTTTCAAACTGACCTAGCGGTCCAATGCCACAGCACCACACCAGGAAAAAGACAATAGTTAGTTGTGGGTAACACCTAGCTTTATGAACAATTAACTGAGGTGCAGAAGGATCCAAAACTTAAATTTAAAGTGTAAGAAAGTTTATTTACCTTGATATTTTTTGTTTTCAACTTTGGTGGAATTGAAGTCTTATCCACTGAAAGTTTGCGTTCTTTTGCCCCAACTCCTATTACTGTGGTAATCACCAAAGTGGTAATAATCACTCTGCTTTGCCATGGTAAATCAAGCCAGCTGCTGTCATCACTAAGTCCTAAAGGAACTGCCTATAAATATTTATACATAAAACATACACAGAAACCCAACCACTGTTTTTCCTTGTTTTAATTTGTCTCTTGTCAGTGCTATTTTACAGTTTATATAATTGTCAACCAATCTTTCAGCAAAGTAAAAAGGGATTCGCCTTGTAATTGACCTGGAATATGCTTTCTTCTGCTTGCGTAATTTAGTCTGTTATTATATGAGATCCTGAACTACCCATGCAAGACCTGAGCCCTGAAGGAGCCAATGCCAATAGTGCCCCCACCCCAATCCCCAAAAAAGCGAACCAATCAAACAAAACAGCCCTTTGCCATTGAGTTGATGTGTTCTACAGAGTGGAAGTCCATAGGGTTTTCTGAACTGTGATCCAGAGACGTAACAGAAGACTGGCCTGGCAATCTGCTGCCACAAGAGCAGTCTTAAAACTGCTGTGGGGCACTTGTTTGCTGCACAGCTGAGGCCAGTGTAAGTCAGACCCAACTCAACAGCACTTAGCGACAACAGTCTTATTACCACTTCCCCAGGCTGTTCTTTGTGGTGCCACTGGGTGGGTTCCAACCAGTAATCCTTAGGCTAGTAATCCAGTGCAAACCGTTTGTACAACCAAGGAACCTTAGAACTGCCACACAAGAAGGATAGGCATGAAATGAAAAATGGGAAGAAGAAAAAAAAAAGTTCCCATTCATTAAGCTTGTAAGTCAAAAATTTAAGCACATGTAACAGGAGCTGAATTAACTCTAAATGAAATCGCTTTAAAGAATTTGGTTGCAATGTGACGTTTTGTTTTCTCTCTAGTAACTGGTATGAACCCTCTGTCTCCTTATTTAAATGTGGATCCTCGATATCTTGTGCAGGTAAGATTAAGACGAGTCCTTTTATGATTTTCCTAGTTCGCTGCTTTATCTTGCCATTTAAAAATACAGATAATCCACAGTTTATGATACATTCTAGTTACATTGAAAGACTCTTATGAGCATATGGTGGTTTCTTGTGATTTTGTTTTGTTTTTACATCTTACTTTCATTAAGTGCTGGGTTCAGACTCAGCGACCCAGTATAGGGTTTCCATGAGTGGCTGATGAGTTTGAGCTGCTGACCTTGAGGTTAGTAGCCTAGTGCTTCCCCTACAGCACCACACCAGGACTCCTTACTAGTAATATGTTATAATCAATCATTTTCTGTTGTTATGAGTGTCAGATATTCACTAGCAGTTATTCAATTTTATGATTTTTTTTTTAAAAAACACTGCCAGATTTATAGGCACTTATAATAAAATGCAAAAAAAAAAAAAATGAAAACTAAGAAAAAAGATGTGTTCACTTTATATCAGAACCAGCTTAGGGCAGCGTCTTCCAAACAGAATCGTAAGTTGGTCACTGCAAAATACTAATGATGACTGGGCAGAGAAATGCAGTGTCTACTCTCTGTCCCTTCTTTTTTTACAAACTAGACCCTTGGCTTACATCACTCCTTAAAATCAGTTGATTAACTCCCTTTATAGGCTTAGGTGTAAAACCAAAATGGAAGTAAAAAGAAATATTGGGAGAGGTAGTTCTAAAGTTATAAATAAGGGTTAGAGCAAAGTTAAAAGTAAATGAGAATATAATGCCTCAGAATCTTAGTATTATTCAGAAGTACGTGAGGATAAGTGGTCTAATGAGCACAAACCTTTGAAAGTGAAGTTACACATTTTAAGGTTTACATTAGCCTTTGCATTCCTTTTTGTTTTTATTTACTGGCTATTCAATCAGAAAAGATCCTGAATTGCACAGGTGAAGTTGAAAACAGCAGGTTTCTCATAGTTCAGTTTATAATATCAGGATACTGGGCTAACAAAGTTTTCAACAGTATTGATTGGATATCCCAGAATGCAAGTTAGTTTAAAATTCAAAAATGAATGTCCTACCCCCTTCCAAGACTAAGACTCAATGGAAATGCACGCTCTGATTGGTGACTACACACATCACCAATGGGGAGAAGTGGGGTAAAAGCAGCAATGAAGCTGCATGCTAAGCCCCACGATGTTCAGTGAACTTCTGTGGACCCAGTTGGAGACCTGGTTGGCAAGCAGTGTGAGGAGACCTGGGGACTCTTGAGCCCAGAGTCAGTGGCGTGGCCATGGAGGACTCGAGAGGAGAGTGGAGCTACCGGCTGATTGGAAGAGAGGGCATGTGCACAGGAGCGCCCACACGTGCAGCTGTGCAGATGATACCCACGTGACCTGGACCAGATGACAGGACGATCAGAGCTCAAACAGGAGAAAAAAATAAGAGGGGGGGAAAAAAAAAAGAGTGAGCTGATACAATCTGATGAACTTGACCTATACCTATGGAACAGCAACCGAAAAGAAGGAACAAATCCTCACAGCAAGAAACATTCCCACCCGCTCCACACACAGAGTGGACGGAGATGGGCAACTTGGTCATTCGATACTCAAATATGGAGGGGGGCACTGCAAAGGCAAGAAGTGACTGGCTTACAAGCTTTCAAGAGGGAACCTAGTACTAGGGAGCATGGAGGAAGGCAGAATCTCCAGTGGGTACTATTCAATCTGTCTGGGCAGAGCTGATAAAAAGAAATACAGATGGCTAACTCGTGATACTGTAGTGAATAATGCTTATCAGGATGGATTATAAGAGTTGGAAATGCAAAGGTAGACGTTTTGTAACAAGGAAGGGAGTGATTAATTCTCCAGTCTAGGAGCGGAGGTCTCTAGGACCATCAATGGAGAAGAGCCAAGAGCGGGACCCTACCCAGAGAAACAGAGATGCCTGAGATGGAGACAGAGAAGACAACGTGGAGTGATGAAGCGGCTGGTAACTTTGGATCCAGAGAGGAAAAGGGACTGTGGGCCGAAAACTTGCGGGGGGTGGGGGGGGAAGGTATGGGGCAGGTATCTAGGATATACCCTTTGGTCGGTGGATGATGCATGGAGGGGATTGGAACCATGGCAATGAGATGATATACGATGGAATGAATGTAAACGATCATATAATTCACAATAGAACATTTAAAAAAAAAAAAAAAAACTGAATGTCCTTTACATTTTGTAGCAAGGAGGGGAGTGATTAACTTTTCAGTCTAGGAGCGGAGGACCCTATCAATGGAGAATAGCGGAGAGCGGAATCCTACCCAGAGAAGCGGTGAGGCCTGAGATGGAGGCAGAGAAGACAACATCAAGCAATGGTGTGGCTGGGGACTTGGGATTAGGAGATGGAAAGGGGCTGAGGACTGTGGTGGGGGTGTAGGCTTACAGGATACACCCTTTAGTTGGGTGAGGATGCATGGACGGGATGGCAACTATGCCAATGAAATGATAGATGATAGAATGAATGTAAAACTAATGTTCTCCCATGTAGACTATCACACAATTCACAATAAAACATTTAATTAAAAAAAAAAAAAATGAATGTCCTTTAGCTTGTTGTTAAGTGCCGTTGAGTCATTTCTGACCCATAGTGACACTGTATAGGGTTTCTGAGGAGCAACTGATGAGCTTGAACTGCCAGCCTTGAGGTTCAAACCAACTTTGCAGTCCAGCGCATTAACCCACAGCGCTATATAGTCATTTGCTACTCATAGCGACTCTGCACAAAAGAAAACACTGCCCAGTCCTACCTCATCCTCGCTATTGTTGTTATGTTTGAATCCATTGTTGCTGCAACTGTTTCAATCCATCTTGTTGGACTCTTCCTCTTTTTCATTGACCCTCCACTTTTCCTTCTCCAGGGTCTGGTCCCTCCTTACAACATGTGCAAAAGTCTGGCCATCTTATACGAAGTCTTAATATCCTCTCACTTCTAAGGAGCATTCTGGCTGTACTTCTTTCGAGACTTATTTGTTCATCTGGCAGTCCATGCACCAACACCATAATTTGAATGCATCGATTCTTCTATACGCTTGTTTATTTATTATCCATCTTTCACATGCATATGAGGCAATTGAAAATACTGTGGCTTGGGTCAGCCATAATTTAGTCCTCATAATGACATCTTTGAACACTTTAAAGAGGTATTGTGCATCATTTGTTTTCTTGACTACTGTTTCTATGAGCATTGATTGTAGATCCAAGTAAAATGAAATCTTTGACAACTTCAGTCTTTTTTTCATTTATCACGATATTATTTATTAGTCCAGTTGTGAGGATTTCAATTTTCTTTACATTGAGGTTCAGTCCCTGTCAAAGGCTGTAATTTTTCATCTTCCCATCAATATTTCAAGTGTTCATCACTTTCATCAAGCCAGGCTGTGTCGTCTATAGTGCAGGTTGTTAATGAGTTTTTCTCCAATCCTGACGCCATGACGTATAAAGAATAAAAAACACATTATTATCCCAGTAGATGGAGAAGAAGCATTTGACAAAATCCAACATCCTTCTTGATAAAAACAAACTAGGAATAGAGGGGACTTTCCTCAGTCTGATCAAGGGCATCTATGAAGTATCCACAGCTAGCATACTTAATGGCATCCTGGTATGCTGTAGGATAAGCACTGGACTGCTAACAGCAAGGTCAGTGATTCAAACCAACCAGCTGCTCCTTGGAAACCCTATACCTTTAGGAAATAAGTTGGAACTGACTCAACCACACTTAACAACAACACACATACTTAATAGTGACAAGCTGAATATTTACCCTCTACAGATGGGGAACAAAACCAGCCTGGCCAGTCTCTTCTATTAAGCATTATGCTGGAGCTTCTAACCAGAGCAGTTAGGCAAGAGAATGAAATCAGAAGCATCCTGCTTGAAATAGAAGCAGTAAAGTTAACTTGTAGATGGCATGGTCTTGTCTGTTAAAAATCCTTAGAAAACCGCAAGCAGGGTACAAGGTAAATACACATGTATAACAGTTATATTTCTATGAATACTTCAGAATAAATTTCACACACGTATAAGATTTATACTGAAAAGTATAAAACATTGAAAGAAATTAAAGACCTGAATAAATGGAAAGATAATCCATATTCATAGAAGACTTAGTATTATAAAAGAGAGTACTCACAAATTGATATACAGCGTCAGGCAATACCTATCAAAATCCCAGCTGGCTTTTATGGGAATTGACAGGCTAGTCTTACATGAAAATTCATATGACTCAAAATAGTCAATATTCTTACATTTTTGAAGGATTCACATTTCTTAAGTTTAAAGTTTACTACACAGCTACATTTGTAGTAAGGATGTTATTGCCAATGGAGGAAAGATCTTGGCTATAAAAACAGAATACCAAAAAGATACTATTTTTGCTTTTTTTAACTATGCAAAGACTTTCGACTATGTAGATCTTAACTATGGATGCCAAGAATGAGAAGCCAGAATACTTTATTGTGTTCATGAGGAAGCTGTACCTAGAATAAGAGGCACTTGTTTACACAAAGCAAGGGGATATTGAATGGTTTAAAATCAAGACAGATGTGAGCTAGGATTGTATCCTCTTTCACCATACTTACTCAGTTTGTATGCTAAGCAATTAATCTCAGAAGCTGGTTATATAAAGCAGAGCTTGACATCCAGATTTGAGGAAGACTTACAACTTGGACACAACCTTGGTTATTGAACTGAATTTGAGATACTGATAAAAAGACCAAAGACTAGCCTTCAGTATGGATTGCACCTCAATGTAAAAAAAAACAAAAAACAAAAAAACTTTGAAACTGGACCAATAAATAACATGATAAATGAAGAAAAGATTCAAGTTGTCAAAAATTTAATTTTGTTTGGATCCACAATCAACTTGCATGGAAGCCGAAGTCAAGAAATCAAATAATATATTGCATTGGGAAAATCAGCTACAAATGACCTCTTTAAACTGTTAAAGAGCATTGCATCACAAGAGACCCATCTGTATCTCCTT